AACCATCGGATGTAAACCATCACAAATTAATAAATCCAACGAAAAATGTATCTTAAATCGAAAATATACTCATTTAAAAATCGCGGGCCCGCGTAAGTTTAAAGTTGGTGACATTGTACGCATCAGCAAAACCAAAATGCTATTCGACAAGGGATACGTTCCAAGCTGGACAACGGAATTATTTAAAGTTACTAAAATTAATATTACCAACCCTGCAACGTACATGCTCGAAGATATGCAAGGTGCACCGATCAAAGGAGCCTTTTATGACGAAGAATTACAGAAAACAGCCAATCCAGATGTTTATTTAGTTGAAAAAGTTTTACGTCGTAAAGGTAAAAAAATGTACGTCAAATGGCTTGGCCTTGATGCAAAACATAATAGTTGGATTGACAATGATGCGATCGTCTAGGTGTATGGGGTGGGGGGGTTTCTGCTAAAAGTGAGTTCTCAGTCGGTTGCAGTCAGTCAGTCAGTCAGTCAGGCAGCTAGTAAAAAAAAAATGGATACCAGTGCTAGTGGTTCAAGTTGCAGCGAGTTTGACCTCACCACCAGCAGCTCACACGAATCATCTGTAAACTACGACCGTGAGCTGGATGCTATTCTGGAAAGGTACGAAGAAGCGGCCAAGAACGAGGACCATTATCTGCTGTACACGCAGTTTCCAAATGGATCATACCAAATTGGATGCGGTCTAAGCCCAGCGAGATCATTTACTCCTGCTGTAATTGTGTGGAACTCATCACGGTTGAAACTATCTTTCAGTTCCTATGAGTGGGAACAATTAATCACCCAGCTCAATGTGGTAACGGTGAAGGAGACGGAGGAGCAGGAGGAGGAGAAGAACCTTCCTGACAAGTATGATCCTGTCGAAATCGAGTGCGGTGACTATTGCAGAATTCGACGACTAATCTATGATAGTACGAAAATTCTCGAAATAACCAAGCACAACATTAGTTTCTACCTCTCAGAAATGGACGTGAACGCTCTTTTAGAAGCAAATAATGAACTTTTAGTACCGTATATGTCTATGCTAGAAACTGTTGAATTTCCAAGCTATTATTATAATGCGCTTAAGATTGTTCGAGCTAGTTTTAATGATCAAAATTATACGTTTTCAGATGCTATTCAAAAATTGTATACATTTAAGCTCGTAGGCTGTACTTTACAACATATAGCGTTAGGACAACATATATTTTTCTATAGACATAGGATCGCTAATGATCTTGAACGATTTTAATAAAGTTTTTGTAAAAATGCATATCTGTCGTTTCATTATGATATACGTCACGTAACGTGACACGTGACGTGACGTGACACGTGACGTACGTGACGTGACACGTGACGCACGTGACGTGACACGTGACGCACGTGACGTGATACGTGACGCACGTGACGTGATACGTGACGCACGTGACGTGATACGTGACGCACGTGACGTGCACACTTTGTTCAAAAATACCAAAAAGATGTCTTGATAGCCCGAAGAACCGCGCCACAACATCAGAAGTAATGTTAGTATTATGTGTGTGCGTGTTTTTTTTTTTGTTTTTGAACACGCTAAGTTTTGAACTCCAACCACGCACTAACATTGCTTCTGATGTTGCACACCTCTGACGACTCAAGCTATCAGGACATCTTGTTGTTGTTGTTGTTGTGAACTCTTCTTACTAGAAAAATCTAACGAAATCAATAAAACATCTTTTATAAATATTCATTTATTAAATCTAATTACATACATGTTTGAAAAATATATATATATATATATATATAAATGTTAGTACTACATACATGTTTGAAAAAAAATATATATATAAATGTTAGTACAATAGATAGAGAGAAACTGGAGGACGGATGAACGCTTTTTATATATTTTTTTGTAATTTGTTTGCTGTGATGTTTTTTTTTTAAAACTCAATATCGCTGTCTACATCAGATTCATCAAATCGGATTCGGATGTTATTTCTAGACCTATCATGTAAGGCATCTCTGCAAGATACCTGGTCTTTTAGTTCAAACACTACGCTTTTAAAGCAGCTGTGACACCAATTATACTTTTTTTGGTATACGTTCAAAATAATGTCATGTGCATCGTGAACCTCGTGAGAATGGTCATAGCAGGCAAATAACGTTTATTTAAAGTTTTATGTATTTCTTTAAATTTAGATAAACAATTTTTACATACGTGTAGGTAATATTGGTCCAGCCAATATCCACTTGTCCATAGACAGTAACTAGAATAATCTTCAAAAACATAACCCCAATCTGATTTTCCTAATATAGTGTGAATTAAATTTGGATCTATTTCTTTGTGACATCTAATAAAGTTAATTCCTGTATATGAAGAATCAAGATCATTTTTGGCTTCTTTAATCATAGCGTGCCATTTATATAAATGAAATTGTTTCACAATTTCCGTAGTTAATTTCCATGGTAGTGGAGACTGCTCCATGAATTCTACTGCTGATGATGTTATTGATTCGCAAATTTTTCTAACAGCTAACTCTGATAATGTTGGGGCATTCATCTATAACAAAAAAAAAAAACGCTATTATAAGATACTGTAATGCCCCCACGGAAGTGTGTCAAAACTGTTCGGAATTAAATAACGTTTGTCGTCATACGGACTTAAACTAATTTTTGACTGTTCA